TATCCATAAACAAAGAAAAAGCAACAAACAAGACACCCTTCCCAGTGTTAGCTGGGCAGTGTCCTTTACTTCAAATTCTTGAGTCCAAGACTCCAATTCTTGTGGTGTGCCTCCCTCCTTGACGCTGTACTCAGTTGTCTCATCAGTGCAGACCTGGAGTTCATAGGTATGCCTGCATGAAGTCTCTCCTCTTATGCATGGGAAGGACCAATGCCACCTGACTGCTTCCTCACTCACTGGCCACCCTGATAGAAATGTAGCCGTGTTAGTCTGGTCTAGCTGAAACAAAAAACAAGACTATATAGCACTTTAAAGACTAACAAGATGGTTTATTAGGTGATGAGCTTTCGTGGGCCAGACCCACTTCCTCAGATCAAATAGTTTTTGATCTGAGGAAGTGGGTCTGGCCACTCTGCTGTGAGTGGTTTAGGGCTTGGGCAGAATTCCAGTCCTGCCAGAAATTATTTCAGCTCCCACTGATTTCAGCTATTGGTCTGAAACATAGTCCAGCCCCAAGAAATTTCAGCATCCAGTGGAGTAATCTACTATATATTTGACAGTATGTCTGTCTGTCTAAGAATTCCTCTTAAACAATAAGAGCTAGGACCACCAAATTCAGTATACAACTTCCTCTTGTTATGACTTAAAGCCAAGGTAAGGATTTGGTTGTGCCAGGAAAATGGGATGTACCTGGAATGGGATTACTTCTCATAAAATCAGACCGGAAAAAGACAAAATCACTAGGGAGGGGGAAAGGACTAGCTGGGGCATGTCCCCCCTCCAATCCAGAACTGTCCCAGTCCTGAGCACCACCCCCAGGCATCCTTTAGTGGGGCAGGTGCTGAATTCTCTCCTCCCTTCATCAAGGAAGTGAAGGGAAAGTAGATACTTCGCTTAATTCGTCACTGCGGCTAGGGAGAGTAGGGGTCAAATGAGCTGTGTAGTTTGCTTTACATCCTGATAGGGACAGGAATGGGAAAAGCAAGCAGTTCTGGTATGGGTCTCGGGAAAGGAGTAATGAGGCACTTTGGGCGTGCGCACACACCTCCCTCCCCCACAAATAAAGTACAGGCAGTCCCCGGGTTACGTACAAGATAGGGACTATAGGTTTGTTCTTAAGTTGAATTTGTATGTAAGTCGGAACTGGCTCCAGATTCAGCCGCTGCTGCTGAAACTGACCAGGGGCTGACTACAGGAAACTGGAGGCAGAATTGCTCTGCCCCCAGCTTCCTGGAATCAGCCACTGATCAGTTTCAACAGTGGCTGAATCTCGAGCCTGGGACAGAACAGCTGGGCTGCCAGGTAGGTCCCTGTAGGACTAACCCGGCAGCACCCCAGCTGCTCTACCCCAGAGTCCACAACAAAAGCCTGGTCTGCAAAGCCTCAGAGGCACGGGACCCTGCCGCCGCTGTGGCTC